GAGGCGATATTGCAGAAAAGTTTATTTTGTAAACATTGCATTTGTCAATATTAGAATAAGTCCGTTTCAGTAATTGCAGCAACCTTGCACTTATAGGTACCGGGTGATTCTCAGATGACGCTCGTCCCTGTATTTTTTTTATTTTTTAAGATTTTCATCGTATATTTTGGTAGAAGGTATAAGTCATTGGTGTCAATTGTTTCACATATTAAGTACCTTTCTGATACTTCCAGTTTCACCGGAAACGACCCCAACTTTGAAATTTTAAATGGAACACCCAGTATATTTTTAGATATTTGAATTCGCCATTTGATTCTAAATATGAAAATGTATATCGATATAATTTTTTGACATTTCTGAAACCGAAATTACCAATTCGCACTTTTCATCTAGCGTGCCATGAGTGACATTAATTGGTAGGTTTTGTACCCAAATAACTGTTAAAATTATTATTTATTTTTATTATTGGAAAATGCAACTTCTACAGCCATTAGAAATTTTCAAATGCGTAAAAGTTGATTTTTTCTTATGGAAAGGGTAGTGGCTCACGGAATCGACTAAACAACTTTTTTCCTACTAATAGATGGATACTACACAATAATATTTCCTTTCATTTTAAACTTCTGCTAGATTGCTTAACTTTGAAAATACCCTCGTAAAACAAGTTAATCACCTGAAATAATGTTGAATGATAACCACCTTTTATTAGAAATTTGACATATCCAATTTGACACAAAAAATAAGGCAAAAATACACTAAAACGATGTTTACACTAGATGCATGTGGGGGAAGTAAACACAAATTTGACGAAAATGGCACGCAACGTGCAATAAAATTAGCGCAAGTTCTAAATTCCATGCAATGCAATGAAATTGCATCAGCTTATCGAAAAAGAACAAAGTGCGCATGCCTTCAGGCAAGAAATTATTGCATTGCACGAGATTGCATGTAGTGTAAACAGGCTTTAATACACACTGAAATTTGTAAAACGACTAAATTTGTAAAACGACTCTCATCAGAGTACAATATTTGGGATGGAAATCTGTTATTTTCTCTATACTTTTGTAAATACCAGTAGCAATATTCAAGGCGTCGATCATAATCAGTTGGATATAAGTGCTGATGTAGCGGGTATTTGAATAACTTGAATTTTTGTTTATTGAGAATTGTCCATACTGAAGCCTGACTTATGTCGCATTCTGCAGCGATTTCCCTCGTTGAAGCTACCCTATTTATAGCAACCATATCCAACACATCAACTTCCTTTTCCTCATTTGAAACGAATGGTCCGTTAACGTTATTTGATTCAGTCCTCATGATTTCTATCAATCTGGGAAAATAATGTCGACTTGGGTGGCGACGATTTGGATATTTCGCAGCGTGAGCGCGAGCAGCGTGTGTCGCAATCTGCCTGCACTCACCGAATATTAAAATCATGTCAATCTTTTCGCTGCGTGTGAAATTCATAATTATTTCTCTTTCACAGAAAAAAAAAACGCTTGAATACGAAATTAGTCTGACAACTTGTGTCAAATTTCTAATAAAAGAAGGTGCTTAACGTCATTTAAGGTAATCAACTTGTATTACGAGGGTGATTTTAAAGATTTTATTCCAGAAAATTTAAGTTAAGAATCTAGCAGAAGTTTAACATGAAGGGAGACATTGTATAGTATCAATCTATTAGTCGGAAAAAAGTTGTTTAGTTGATTCCGTGAGCCACTACCCTTTCCATAAGAAAAAATCAACTTTTACGCATTTGAAAATTTCAAATGGCTGTAGAAGTTGCATTTTGCAATAATAGAAATAAATAATAATTTTAACACTTATTTGGGTACAAAACCTACCTATGTCATTCATGGCACGCTAGATGAAAAGTGCGAATTGGTAATTTCGGTTTTAGAAATGTCAAAAAATTATATTGATATACATTTTCATATTTAGAATAAAGAGGCGAATTTAAATATCTAAAAATATACTGGGTGTTCCATTTAAAATTTGAATGTTAGGGTCGTTTCCAGAGAAACCGGAAGTATCAGAAAGGTACTTATTATGTGAAACAATGCACACCAATGACTTATACCTTCTACCAAAATATGAGATGAAAATCTTAAAAAATAAAAAAGTTACAGGGACGAGCGTCATCTGAGAATCACCCAGCAGCAATAAAAAATAAAACATTTCAATATTATCTAGAAACATTAGGTACTAAAACATTGAAGCGATATTACATTGCTTAGTGGGGTGGATCGTAAGGGATTGATTCCTTGAGTATTTGGTCCTTGACCATCTAAGTAGCCTGAAAGAAGGCCCTATGGTGCTGTTGGATTCAGCTCGTTGCTGCGCATTTCGTTTGATTTTATTATTAACCATTAGTTGATTAATGCTCGCGTTTGCCTTTGAGCTGCTGCTTTGACTTGTTACCTAGGTACTTGTTATTGGTATTGCCTTTTTTTACAGTCGAGCTGGGGTTGCTTTTCTATGCTTAATGCGCCATTTTTTTTGGTTTTTATAAGGTCTTGAATTTCAGTGTTGACTGTCGTTCTCATCAAACCAGTCTTGATGTTTTTTTGTTGTTGTGCAGATGTTATTGTGGTCTTCAATATTTTCCAGTGCTCCTCAATGCTTTCCGGGTACTCGCCCTACAAGTACGGGCTTAGAGAGGCTCACAAGTTTGTCCTGATGTGATTGTCTCTAAGGCGATCCATGTTATATTTGCATTTGAACTATTTTTTTTGACATCTAGACTTTGGTGGAATGTTCAGTTCATTCTGGCTCGTATCGTGTCACCCGATGTTCAGTCCAGCAGGCATCCGCACTTGTTAAAGGTTAAAGCTCTCCTAATCCTAATGCATACATCATTTCGGTCTCTAAAACCTTTTTAACCTCAATTTCAGAAAAAGTAAGTTCAATTTCGGAATCGGTAGATTGTATTCAGGAAAAAGTTTATTTGATTTAGGAAAATCCATCTCATTTTCAGAATTGCAAAATTGAATTTAGGAAAAAGTATAGTTTAATTTAAGAAAAATAAGATCAATTTCAGAAAAAATAATGTTAAGTTGTTAAAGAAAGGGAAGCATCTTTAACAATAAGAAAGCAAGAAATGATAATGTGTTATTAGCAATTTATTTAATAATAAACAAGAGAAGAAATGACAATAATAAAACAAAAAACCCCATAAACATCAAGGTTAGGGTAAAGCCATTCTTAAATTCCGAGTTTCATATCTTCTAGGAGCATTACCGCTGGATAATGCCGTTGGACGTGATTATAAATAAGAACGAATGCACACTGCAGCAGCAATTCCATGCATTACCCGATCTGCAGATTCTTCCAAATATCTTAGCCTAAACTCGTATTGAGTAAGCAAGCCGGTCTGATCACCTGCAATCAGTACATTGAATGTTGCCTGTATCTCCTCTTTAATGGATGTTTTGAATGAACTCCACACATGTTCAATGAGGTTCAGTATGGGATTGTAAGGTGCCAAGCGGCAAAACGTGATTCCAGCGAATTTCTTCCTCTTGTCCCAATTCTTCTGCTCTTGAATGTGCAGGTGCATCATCAATAACAGACACCAAAGCGCCAATATATGCCAGTAGTCTTTCCACGTACCTAGGTCCTACGTAAGTTTTTGTTCTCAACAGTGTTAACTCCCTGTGGGAGCATAGCACTTCTTACAAGTTATTAATCGACCATCAAGGTGCTTTGAGATGGTTTATGTTTCTTCTTTCTAATAATCTTTCACGTATTGATCGTAGGGACAACTGTGCATTTTCTTCTAGCCAACTGATTACTTCTTCTATCACCTCATTGTCCAATTTGAAATGTCGTTTTCCACCTCGTTGCCTTCGATCGACGCTTCCCTTCCGAAGCCAGTCGTGCGCAGTTTTGTACTTAATACCATTTGCAGCAGCTATAGCCTTCCAGTCGCCCCCACTCTCAGCCTCTCTTAAATTCCGAAATTGAACCTATTTTCTCCTAAATTAGATAAACTTTTTCCTAAATACAATCTACCGATTCTGAAATTGAACTTACATTTTCCGAAAATGAGGTTGAAAAGGAGAACAAATATATAATCGATTAGATACCAGTGCATTGACCTAGGGTGTTGCCAGGAAGTCTTGAATTTATTTTTTTGTCGAAAAAGTGTAGGTCACAGATTAGCTCGTGTAGGTATTCGTTATTACGATGTCATGTTCTGAGCATGTCGTTAGTAGGTGAAGTCTGTTCAAGTTCATTTTTCCGACGCCTTCCTTGCCGATCACGATCGAGCCTTTCCAGAGATCTGACTCTGTACTGACCCGGACGTTGAAATCACCTTGAAGAACAAGTTTATCAGATCTAGGTACAGGTGATATTGTTTCACTGAGCTGTGCATAAAATTCCTCTTCATTATTTTCGTCAGTTGGGAGGGTTGGCGCGTAGGTGCTAATTAGCGTAGCTTGTTGGTTGTTGCTTAGGTTCAGCCGCAGTGTCATCGGACTTTTTTTATTCCGGATTCCATACATTCATTGTTGGTTCGCCCTCTTCTGGTTTCGCTTAGAACTGCAGTATCGATGTTGAATTTCTTTAATTCTCGTGCTACCATTCCCGTTCTTCGTTGTTGTTTTGTATTTGTGCTGGTATCCCTGAGTGCTGAGTGTACGAATATTTCACGTGGCAAGATTGAGTTTATTTTCCTACGTTTTGTTTCGACCGCACGGGATGCACCCTCTGGACGCGGTTATCAAGTCGGGCAGTTGTTGGCTGGCTATGTTTTTGACACTTATTATAGCCTTTTCCCTTTCAGGGATCCTAAATAGGGCTGCTCAGTCACGACAGTCACTGATGCAGCACACAAGTTACTCTACAGCCAATCCTCGAGTAAAATGGTTATCACGCCTCCGTGCCGGTTTGTCAGTAAGAACTTCCAGGCTACAACATTCTACTCAAATACTGACCAGAGACCATTGCACAATATTATTCATCTAGAGTTTATCCAAAATTTGAGAAAAACACAATAAACATTTAAAAACTATTTATTGTTATGCAAAAAATTTAAAAAACTTATGGCAGTTGGCAATATCGACTCTTTACAGTGACTATAATATTTTTTAGTAAAATAAATCTGTTAAATGGTTCTACACTACAGTAGCATTCGCCATCGCTTTCAATTCCTCCATGGCCCTTTTGTATCGAACATACCTCGCAGCCGATTGTCCTTTATTCAAGTAGCACTGCGATAAGGCATCGCCTTGGTACCCACTGGGACACGTGCAAACCGCTATGTGATTTCTGGGGTTGCATTCTGCGTTCACACCGCACTGACCTACACAAGGGTTTTGACACCTAAAAGAAGAAGCTGCGTAAAATCTCATGATCATTACGCACTGCATACTTACGTATAATCAATACAAGCTTTATTATTGGTACAATCTCCGTCCCCTATACATTCGCCCCTTTGGCAACCCGTTACAGGATTTCCAATGTAACCAGTTTGACAGAAACATACAGGACGTTCTTTAGATGGGTTGCGAGTTTCAAATCCTGGCTCGCAGTAGGCGTTTGCACCGCAGGGATTTGGTTCACATAAATCACCTAAAAAAACGAATCTAAGCATTCATTTGAATTAAGTTAACTTAACAATTATTCTTACGCGCTTCAAATGGTCTACATCTGACAAACGGATCTCCGGTCATGTCTTTTGGACAGGAGCAAATCGGTGTTAGTCCTCTTAGATTACAATCGGCTCCTACACCACAGACACCGTCGCAAGGGTTTTTGCAGATGCCGTAGAAGCATGCCGGACGTCCTGGTGGACAATCTACGTCGCCGTAACATTCTGGTTTGCAGGAGATTTGAGGATTGCCAAAGTAATTCTGATTTGGAATAAAAGTAGAGTTGTAGTTAATCAATTAATTAAATTATTTATTCCCTTGTTTAGCAAGACAAGAAATTTCCAGTTTCTTGTTCTAGCTTTATATAAAGTTCCTTCATTCCTTTTGCAAGGAAGTAAGTTAAGCTTCAGGGAATATTTGGTGCTGAAAACTGTAGGTATAGTTACCTTGGGACAAGTGCAAACAGCTTGATGATTCCTGACGGAACAGTCGGCACTTTCACCACATTGGCTGCTGCAAGGATTCTGACAACGGAAGTCGATACAGGCCTGATTCGAATTACATTCCGAGTCGCTCTCGCACTCGTGCCGGCACCCGGCCAATGGTGATCCTTGGAAACCCGGTCTACACTTACAGGTCGGTACCCCGTTTATCACTTCGCAGTTGGTGTTGGAACCGCAAGGACTTGGATGACATAATTCAGCTTAAAGAGATAGTCAATAAAAATTAACTAGTTTTGTATCAAATTTGTACAACAGAAAACAATATTATTATTTCTTACAGGGATCAAATCTTCTGCAACTGCTGAAAGGATTTCCCGTGTATCCTGGTGGACAACTGCAAACAGGCACGTGATTTCTGGCTTGGCAGTCCGAGTTGGTACCACAGGTACCAGCGCAAGGGTCGATGCACCTGCCGTTTCTGCAGGTTAAGTGGTCTCTGCACTCGCCGTCTGATAGACATTCTGACCTGTTTAGGTATAAACCAGTGTTATAAAGATTCACAATCTTCCGAAAAAGGATTCTTACCTTGTACACACTGACAACGGATCACCGGAGTATCCTCTGTAACATGAACAAACAGGCCTTCCACCAATTACTTGACATTGGGCGTTTTGGCCGCAAGTATTTGCAGTGCACGTCGTTACTTGCATGGCTAAAAAAATTATTGTCAAATCAGCACATTATTAGAAATCCATTAAGTACCAGTTAGTTAACAGAGTAAATTATTGCCCTATCAAACTTTAAAAGCGTAGATTATTATTTATTTCTCAAGCCCACTGCATAGTAGTGTTCCTACGCTATATGCATTAACAATAAAAAATGCACTTTTAGTGGGACGCGAAATTAGTTGATGTTCAAAAATGGAATGGACACCGTGAGAATGACGCAAAGTGCCTGAATAAGCAAAAAAAAAATTTTGTGCCTGAATAAAATGAATTAACCTTCTCTAAAATAGCCACTCGGACAATAAACACAGTCCCTTGTGGCAGTTCTTTGTATGTATCTGTTATAGTCGCTTGAAGATTGAGCTATAGTGTTACCATATTTGTCTGTTATGTATACTCGGTCATCGTACACAGGCTTCGTGTATCTAAAATAAGAGGTTTTTAATTATACAGGAGACACTTTATTTGGTTTGGTAAGCGATTAGATTAGATTATTCTACATCAGATGCAATTATGACATTTTATCTAAGACTCTTCAAATAAAACAAGTTTTACTGATTTTGAGAAACAGAAATGTTTCTATTGCTAGAAAAAGCATTTATGTAGTGCGCGCTTCTCAGGATTCTACAAGGGACTTATACCTCTCCAATTAACACTCCAGAGATTTTGTAGACACCAGAAAATGACTCAGTAAAGTGCCGTGATCACTCAGAAGTCAGAAATCTTTTTGTACTTTTCATATTTCTAGGATAACTGCATCTGAAAATTTTGTTTCTGTGCATCTTCGCATTTTGTAAACAATGAAGGCAGATGCTCATCAGTATTGAACTGAAAATTCCTGAGTCTGAATCTCTGAAGCATCGTAAAAAGATGTTCTTCTTCAAAAGACGTATGTACAATTATATTTCGCACAAGTGTGTACGGTAATTAACTTAACACGCTAGTGCGTAAAAAATCGCTGAAGCAGTTTAATAAATTGTGTGAACACCGTAAAAATAGGCATATCAGTGTCTCAATCACGCAAATTCAAAATCTTTGAAGATGCCTTGAAGCCAAAAATTGTTGAGTTTTGTACTTTCGTACTAACTGGTTGGTCTTCTACTTGTACCTACGTTTCTGCAGGTTTGTGTTTTCAGCACTGACCAAAGGTCTGGACATTGTAAGAAAAAATTTATGGAATCGCTTGACTGTGAAATCTAATTCAAGTTTTCACTCAATTTTTGTTTATCAAGTTCTGAGAAATACTTGAAGGCTTGATTTTCGTGGTGACTTTGGAGAACTAAAGTGAATGGGCGGACACCTAGTAAATCTAAGATTTAACGTCGAAATACAGCTGTAAGTAGATGAAAAGAAACTGAAAACTCTATTCCGAGAATTATTCCAGCAATCCCTGAGCCCTATTGGAAGGAAAATTGTCAAAAACTTCGAAAACATTGTCTGTCCAACTTCTCCGAAGATCCTTACCTTATTCTGATGTCTACTTACGAGGTTGAAACAATGGAGGAATGGAAATGAGAATCGCGTCTTTTGAGGCGGAAACGGATGATGTGGATAATGAGTGGTAAAAGTGAAGAAGAATGATGTTGGAGTGTCAAAACAAGAGGATAGATACGAAAATGAGAATTGAGCAGCGAAAGGAATAATAACTGAAAAATTAGGATTTCAAGGTAGCAATGATGGAAAAAAAATGTACTTCAATTAGGACCAGTTACCAAACATGCCTCATTCTACTTATTCGAAAAGATGAAGTGAGATGCAGTAGGAAACTGGTTGTGTGAAATGCCATTATAGATCGAAATTTTCCAAGTTTGCGGATCCTGTTAATCGCATCATGATTTGAGAAAAGCCTCAATTATTGGTTCGATAGAAAAGTTGAGAAAATGAGTAAAAGTGGTATTATACGGAGGGCCACGAATTTTTTTTTTTAGTTTGGATATTTTTTAAATTAAATCAATTTTATTTAATGTAGGTATTGTCTGCTAAGATTTGTAATACTTTTTTTAATTAAAGAGTCGTAGACAAGTCGTCATTTTTTTTGTTTCAACTTATCATGGATGAATAAACCATGCAAGATTGCATATCTGATGCGATGCAATTAATATACATATAGGTTCCTGTATAATACACAAAAAACCTCTTGTAGTACCTGTAAGAATGATCCACGTAAGGATTACTATTGTAAGTGTAATAATCGTTGTAATAAGGCGATCGTGTCCCACTGGATAGTATTCTGTAGGTTCTGTATTGGGAAGGCTCACCTGTAGTCAAACGCAGAAGCTGTATGAGGACTATGGAGAAACAAACTAGTGATGTGTGCCCCATGATTATCTGCAATTGGAAAAAATACATTATGTGCAACCCGTCCGGAGAGCTATTTTGTCACCAAATCACATAAAGTTCACTACCTAACATTTATTAGCATTTCAAAGTAAAGCTTGCCCTTTCATGTTTATTAATGCAACAATATTTGTTAGTGCAAAAATGCATTGATGGTAAGTGCTTCAAACTTTGATTAGGTTATTCAAAATTTAATAAATTGGATTGTTAATTGAACCTTCTTGGTAAGATAATTGAATAACCATCAAGAGACAACCTCTTCCATTAGAGAAAAATCTAAAACCTCTACCTACAGTCTGTGGTCAATGTAGCATTCAGATACACAATCTACAAAACTCGAGACAAAACTTTTTTGACACAACTCTTCCTAGGGTTTGCTGTTTGTGCAACAGCAGCACTAACTTTAAAAAGCTCTTGAAAAACTAGAAAATCTTTCTCATTGAAAATCTGAAGCACAAATTCTCTGATGAAACCAAAATCATTAATTTAAGGCTTATTTATAACAAAATTATGTAATTTAAAGTCAAATTATTGAAACCTGTTACCTTTTTAACATAAGACCTCGTCTCCTCAATTTAATATCACCGACCGACACAAAACAATAATCAACACTGTTTACCTACTGTTTAATTTAATTTGATTACTTTATTCTATATTTCAAGTTCCCCACCGAATTATTGCGAGTCTCAAGAAGTCTGGTACCTACCTATGTGAAATTAGAGAGATATTGCAAAGCAGCAGATCGAGTCCGATAATTAATAAGTAGGTACCTACTTAACATTAACGATGTTTTAATTTGTGATTCTAAAGGAAAAGTTTCGGCTAGAAATTACTTAAGTCTTTAGTTTGCAAGGCCTAGTGACATTTTTGAAAACATTGTCGATTTTTTCGCCTGAGGGCCGATCCTCGGGCCAGGGAGTAGAGCTCCCCGAGAGAACAAATTTTTCCTCTTTGTCATTCTTGTTTACTTTTCGATTATGTTGACAAGGACAAAAAAATTCGTTCTATCGGGGAGCTCTACTCCCTGCCCGAGGATCGGGCCCCTGGATGATACAGATTCCATCAGTACAGTTTTTTGGTTCTGTCACGTTTGACTTTATCTTCTAAATTGGGATTGCTTATTGCAGGTTCGACATCCTCAAAGAGCAGTTTTCTTCTGGATCATCCTCTATCTGGATCATCCTCAATTGAAAAAAAATTGATCTTCAATCTGCAATTTGTTGCTCTTGCTCCCAATGATGGAAGGAGATACTCATGGACTTTTTTCGCTTGCCATTTCTCATTACTTTTGCTTGTTCAGGTGTAAAATAAAATTGAGGCATTTCGATAACAGCGCAGTTTTTCAAAGTCAAAGTCAAAAGATAGCTTTATTGTCTTAAAACAAAAATGTTGCTGCTGACAAAGACGTACCTACTTCAATAAAGTCAAAACAGATAATGAAAAAACAAAAAAACAGAAAAAATAAGTCTTACCAAAGCATGAGAAGCAAACGAAAGTATAAAACAACAAAGTATCGAGCACAATAAACAACAGCGTAGAACAAGAAATGACATTACGCTTTTTATACATATAAAATTTAACTCATTATAATAGAGAAATCAGGACAAACACATTACCTCAACCGGCTCAACCAGTTACCTACTATAGTTTAATTAAAATAGGTACTCATCCAAGCCTATCATGGGCCTAGTATGCTTTATTAACTAAAAAAGCCTTATTAACCTGCTTCCTAAATCTCTTGCAGCATCCAAGCTATATTATTTCTATTGGAAGGCTATTGAACAGTTTTTTACCTTCATATATAGATGATTTTTTTACTAGCTGTGAATGTGAATTCTTTTGATTTACATTACTTGCCCTTTTATTTGACGTCTATCTAGGAATTGGTATAATTGCATCTTACTATGGGTAAATTTCATGTATCAAGTTCTCTATTCGATTTTGCATCCTAGCACTCCTATTTTGAAGATGAAGATATCGTATACTAAATAATAAAGATACCATACTTCAATATAAGTAGGAACCTACTCATTTTCATTTTTCCTTCTTAAAAATTTCGATCAATTTATTCTTTAGGCTGAGAAACCGTTTACACTTGTAGTTTTGATAGACTAGCACAAGTTTCTTAGAAAAAAAGGCGGAATCTGTCTTCTGAATTCTTATTAAATGCGAAGAATGATGCAAATTAGGTGGATTTCATCTATTACGTTGACTTCTGCAAGGCTACCTATTCATACTAAAAGGTTTTTGAGCATAACGCTAGACTATATCCGAATTCTCCTGCCTAGCAAGGCTCAAAATTTAAAAAACGGGACATCTTGAAAAACCAGGACAATGTAGACTTGAACAAGACAACAGTTTAAAGTGAACATAATAAGAGTTTGTTTTTGTATCTAACGATTTGAGAGTAGTGTCTTTGTAGTCGGATCATTTACCACTTACCGACAGGGAGTTCTAGAGTAACACTGCATCATAAGGCTACTTAGTTTTAATTACATATCTATTGTCTCGGATTCCGGTTTCACTAACTCCCGGGGACAAACTGACTATATAAAAATTCACTTATCACTTATTGCAATGTCCCTACTCAAAAAATCTCGTATTTAAGCTGACTTCCATCTGACTTCTTTTTCCTTCTTCCTAGCCGTTCTCTATCCTCCTGGATATAGGCCTCTCTCAGATTTTGCCAGGTAGGTACTCTTCTATGCTGTGCAACTTGGTACCAGTTTAGTCCAGTTGTTCGCTTGATGTCGTCGTACCAGCGTTGTTGAGGTCTGCCGACGCCCCCCCAGGGTCTCCATCTTGTTCCATTTGAAGTTGCATATTCTATGTGTAATATCTTCGACTTTTGTTGTGTTTCTTATCCACTCGTTGGTCTTGTGATCCCTTAGTGTAATACCTATCATTCTCCTTTCAATTGCTCTCTGATGTTCTTGCAGCTTATTTAGGATGTTATTTGTGATCGTTCATGTTTCGCGACTTTAGTTTTCAGTTTCAACGATAACTTGGACCGGAATATGTGGTCGCGACCATCCCAGTCGTATTCTCCTATTAATTTTAAGCTCTTGATTGACTTTGCCAAATGTTATTTCCTGTCCTAGATACTTCTACTTAAAGGAGTTTACTTTTTTCACCTGTTTTCTATGGATATTGTGTCCCTATCTGTTTGCTCATTAGTCAGTTGCCATAAACTCTGTTTTTGATACCTACGTTCATTTCTAATCCGATCTTCCTGGCTTTTTGGAGTAATTCTTTCAGCATGATGTCTAGGTCTGTTTCGTTCGAGGCGAAGAGATTACGATGTCATCAGCCAGTGGCGGATACAGGGGGGGCGCGGGGGGCGCGCGCCCCCCCCCCTCAGAGCCTCAAAAACTAATTATTTTTTTTAAATCATAGATAGAAAAATATTATAAAAGAATTTTCCAATAAGAGTTCATGGAAAAATTTTCCAATAAAATGCTTTAGGAAAATTTTCCAAGCTACACTATTGTTCAATTTATCGTTTTGTTTTTATCAGATGGATAAATGTCCTATATTTTTTTTGGAATAGGTATTTTTATTTGTTATTTTCTGTTTTCTGATATGTGCAGGGTTGTCCAATTTGGACACTTTTGATAGAAATAGTATATTGTTGTATTAGGAGTTGAAGCTTTACTTTTTTGTGCTGAAGCGGTAGGTTTACAAGCCGAACGTAGTGAGGCTCGCAATACTGCTGAAGCACAAAAAAGTGCTTCTACTGCGTATGCAACACGCTATTTTTTCTCCAAACGAATGGGGTGAGCTCGGGGGCAAGTGAATGGTTGAGCGGCAGTAAAAGTACGAGCGGCACTAAAAGTACTTTTGCTGCCGCTGGGGTTGCCAAGCAGCATAGAAATTAAATTTCTACCACCTCGACAGGTGTTAACCCGCTGGATTTGCCTAGCAGCATAGAAATCAAATTTCTGACATCTTGACAGGAGTTAACAAAGTGACGTTTTTCTGACGTTTGGAGAAAAACGTTATTTTCTGAGCGAGATACAAAAAAATCAACCCCCACTCTGAGGCTCAAACTTTATGATATTGTGAACCGTATTGTGACAATTGTGACTAGGGAATCCAGTGACTTTCTTAATTTTTTTTCTATTTATTCCCGAATTCGAGATATTTACCAGAGTCCGATTGGTTTGATGGGACACTGGACACCCTATACAGTGAGGGGCAAGCTACTAGGTATATAGGATGTAACCTGACGAATTTGCAGGCGTCCGCATGTCAGAAAATGACAAATCGATTTAGCGCTAACCTGGTGAAAACCAGGTGAAAATGTTCTACGGTTGTTAATAATTTTCAAAAATATGGTTGCATTTCTCCCCGAAACCATCAATAAAATGACGTTCAGGAAAATAATGAGGATCAAAAAGCCAAATAATAGTATATTGTTGTATTAGGAGTAGAAGCTCTACTTTTTTGTGCTGAAGCAGTAGGTTTGCGAGCCGAACGTAGTGAGGCTTGCAATACTGCTGAAGCACAAAAAAGTGCTTCTACTCCGTATGCAACACGCTATTTTTTCTCCAAACCAATGGGATAAGCTCGGGGGCAAGTGAATGGTTGAGTGGCAGTAAAAGTACGAGCGGCACTAAAAGTACTTTTGCTGCCGCTGGGGTTGCCAAGCAGCATAGAAATTAAACTTCTACCACCTCGACAGGTGTTAACCCGTTGAATTTGCCTGGCAGCATAGAAATCAAATTTCTGACATCTTAACAGGAGTTAACAAAGTGACGTTTTTTTGACGTTTGGAGAAAAATTATGTTGTTGGTTGTTGCACAGCCCCCTACACTTACAAGCCATGAAGTTGGAAATGACGGCAACGTCGCGTATGGTGCTATTTTGTTATCGAGGTTATTGTTTCTGTGTATTGCGTTCATTGTATATTGTTGCAGTTTAGTATTTTTGTGGGCATTATTGACGAAAAAGTGGATAGAAACACACCGATATATTGCCCATATTTAGTTGATACCTGTTCCTTTGTGCTTTGATTGCAAATTTTCAGCAAATGGGTACAGCAGCAAAAATGAAGGTAATGTAAGGTTAAAACAATAAAAACAATATTAATATTGTGCAAGAGCATGGGTCTCGATATATTACCTAAGATATTTAAACTTTTTTCCAGATGCCATGAAACTACTCAGTGGCGGATTTAGAGGGGGGCGCGGGGGGCGCGCGCCCCCCCCCTATTGAGCGACGCAACAACGAAATTTTTAACGAAAACACAAACATATTCATCAAGCATTATCCAACATGAAATTCCATATGGTTTTTGCTATTTTTCCAAATTTTTAATACTTTTAAATACGTTTGGCAGCAGCGAGCTGGGAGCGAATCGACTGCGGATGACATAAATCCGAATGAATTTAATCTATAATTGAAAATTCCAATTAAATTTAATCTCCGATTAAATTAAATGTTGATGTCAAATGATAGTTTATGAAAATCTAAGATAGGAATGTGAAATCGGTTTTCCTCTGAAATTAACCGTTCAGGTTTTACAGCCTGTCAAAGTTGCAAAAAGTCAATGTTCAACTGTCAATATTTCCAAAACAGTTGAACTTAGGTATAGGGTATATCACATGAAATCTGCTCAGAATTTTACGTAGAATCCAAATATGCAATCACATACAGGGTGTTTTATTTGAAAAAAAGAAAGTTGGTCTAGATAGCAA